TTCCATCTATTTCTAGATCACCCTGTACTATTGCAGTTGAAAAAGAATATGATGTGATCATAGTTGTTAGATGTAATGGCTCTATGTTGAGAAGTGTCTTAGTAGATGGAGGAACGTGTGTCAATATGATGACTATTTCAACAATAAAGTATATAGATCATGAAATTGAAATAAATTTTTACATCAACGTAAAAGTGTCTAACAAAATTATTAGTAAACAGCAAGTTACAATTTCCAATCTATGTATCAATGTTTTAGGCATTTTCATAGTCTTTTGATTTTCATTTTGTGTTAGAAGAAGATGAATCATACCCTAGTCCTACCATGGCTTACAAAAGCACAAGTACAAAATTATTGGGGCAAAGGACATTTGATCGTTGGTAAGGGGTCGCATCAATAACATATTATTTTTGTTCCACTAGGAGATGCATCGACATCAAGCAAATTTGACTTGAATTCAAGAGAGTCATATTATTCAAAATCCGAAAGAATCTACATGGACAATTCATTAGATGATGAGGTTGGAATTTATGCAATTGAAGCAATCTTGAATAAAAAAGTTTCACTACAAAGAAAAATAACCAAGGAAGAAGTTGATTTTGACCGATGAAGTAATAGCATGGAGATTGAATCAAATTCAACTTGGTACAAAATTTTTGCCTCAAGAGTGAAAATGTTTTTGCCACCTATTGCATAAATTTATCCATCTATTTCCCTTCAATATCAAGTATTTGCGTGAAATCATCTTAAAAACGCACCGAATTGAACTTATATAGAATGCGGAAACAATCAGGTAGAAATCTTATCTTATGAATTACAAATATATTAAAAAAGTGAAAGCAAAATTAGGAAAATTACCATAAATTGGATTCATCCAACCGATGGAGAATACTGAGTGTATATCTTTAATCACGTTGGCTCTTCAAAAAAATAGAAAGTTGAAGGTTTTTGTTGAATTACAAGAATCTCAATGACAACATAAAAAAGTATTGATAACAACCTCCTCAAAAAACTTTGCGACAAAGTTTTTGAGGAGTTGGAGGTTCACAAATTGTACTCTTTTGTCGATTGATACAACGGATATCATCAAGAGGTTATTGCAAAAGAAGATCAATTGAATATCACCTTCACGTCACGTGTCACCTTCATGGTGTAGCTTTTGTCACAAGATAATGCCATTTGGAGTTTGCAATGCTCTAGCTACCTTCCAACAGCTTATGAATGAATTTTTTAAGATGTACTTAAAATAATTTGTAAGATTATTCATGTATGACTTTAGAAAATACGGTTATTGAGTCTCGCATTTGGAGAAGTTAGAGAAAAATTTTCAACGCTTAGATAAGTCATAAATCACACGAACTGGAAAAAAACAAAGAATGGATTTTAGTATTATAAATTAATATATCACATTGTTTCCATTGAGGAAATTGATACTGATGGGAAAAAAATAGAAGTTATGTTATGAGTGTCAGTTCCTATCACCAAACGTGAGATTATTGACTTTTTGCAAACTAATCGTTATTATAGTCAATTCATTGAACAATATGCAATGATTGTCAAACCTTTAACTAGGTTGTTGAAGTATGACGCTACTTCTCCGCAAGCAACTCCATAGGCGTTAGAGTCTTTTGAAAAGCTAAAGAAAAACTTACTTGCAACATCTATTTCACAAATTTTGGATTGGAAAAACTTGTTTTTAATTTTATAGATGCATCTAGAGAAGAAGTGTACGCAACGTTGGCATATTTGGATGTGGAAGTTAACGACCATCTCCTATATTATGCTTATAGATCATTCACGTCGGGAGAAATGAATTACACGGTAATAGAACGCAAAAATTTAAGTGTTATTTTTGCGTTGAAGAAATTTTGACACTTATTGCTTGGGACGAAAACTACGGTGGTAACAAATAATCAAGCAATGGTTTATCATCTCAATCAACCAAACGCTACAAGAAAAATTGCACGGTGGATGATTTTGCTTCAATAATTTGACATGGATATTGTATATCGCGCGGTTATTGAACATGAAAATTTGAAAAAAAAAATTCATGAATGCAAAAGAAGTTGGATGTTGTACTTAAAGACAACAATGAAACTTTCTAGACGAAGTGTTTATATTGATCGACATAGACAATCAATGAAAGTAGTTTACAGATATAATCCAAAATCTCCAAGGTATAAAATTTTCAAATGTTGCAACCAAACAAGTTAGTACAAGAATTGCATATAAGAGTCAATCTTATACCTTGATATATCAACTATTATATTTTTGCGGTAGAGATGGTTATTTTTGAAATGCGGTAGAAAAAGCGTCAGTAACATAATTGTTACAAGAGTTTTATGAAGACTTCTATAGGGATAAATTACAGTGAGAAAAATCTCGATACCAGTATACTATTGGCCAACTATGTTCAAGGATAATTTTGACTCCTTTAAATGTTGCAAAGTGTGACAAGAGTTCGCCAATAAATCTACAATGAACGACAATTTGCATATTGTTTTTCCATTAGGCTCATTTGAGAAATGAGATATCAATTTAATGGAATCTTTCTTGGTTACAAAAGAAATACATCATTTTATTGTGATTGCCACGGATTATCTTTCAAAAAAGTATATTTAGCTCTCACTCAAGCAACCTGCTTCATGTCTCAACAACAAAATAAATATTATGTATATGCTTGGGAGAAAATTAAAAAACACACACTTTCATTCACAAGAATTTCGTGTTAAACTGCAAAAGATGAGACTTAGAACACAAGAGCTAACACATGAATCAACGGTCTTTGTACATACAAAGCATTCTAGCAAGATGCACATCTCTACTGAAATGATTGTTGTATATGCTAGTAATAACTTAAAGTAAGTTTTGCAAAAAATTTTCTTACACTGCTAAATTTCACATCACACAAACAAAATCTTGAATGTAATTATCTTTTGACTATTAGACAAATAAAGTTTTTAGAAGCTTAACTACTCCCTAATATACAAAATCCTGAATGTAACTATCATTTAACTATTGGACAAATAAAAGTAAAGTTTTAAAAGCTTAACAACTCCCTACCATATAGATGTACAATTTGATGAGTTCATGTAATTTTGTTAAGATATCCAATCATTTCAAGTCATATAACATATATTGTATTTTGACATGTTGGCAATAAATTGCACTCAAGAGTCTATCACGTTAGATTGCATGTGAGTTCACTATCTCTTTAATATAATGCAGATCATTGTAATTAATTGAAAAGTTGTTAACGTTGTGTTAAAAGAGTATATCATGTTGAATGAAGAGTCATGAAATTTTTACGTTATTTTTGGACGCTATAAGCGGATGTTAAAAATATCTAAACGATGTAAAACATATTTTTTCCTCACAAACTAGCTTTTAACTTCTTGCTTTGAACAAATATGAGAGATTTGCTTGATGGGACCCCTGCGGAAAGTAATTTGCTTGATGGTACACTTCAGGTTTCATTTTACCCGATGGTACCCCATGAACGATGCACCGTTACCCATGTTCTTATAATAACTAGAGATAGTGCAACGAGTCAATCGCACCCGCGGACAGAGTGGACTTCGCGCTCCATCACACTCACTTGTTTTTATGTTGTCATTCTGTATCCGACCATTCCCCTAGGAGACGAGAAAAATGTTCATTTGGAGTTTATTTGTTCGCCAGATTTGGGTGATCGCGAGACTTGAGCTCGAACCACTTTCCGATACGAGCTCCTCGTCGCATACGCAGGGTTAGGGAAGGAGAGTGCAGGTGGGAGACAACAGAGAAATCCGCGAAGAATTGAAGCACAACGAATTGCACTTCGATCGGAAGAATTGAAGCACAACAAATTGCACTTCGAGCAACATCGATCTTTGTCTCCATGATAATACACCAGAAATTATAATCAGGGATTGATCTCTGATTGTAATCCACGCATTGTAGCTAGTAGTAATCGTAGTTACAAGAACTATGTCCGACGGCACACCGTCGTTAGGGTCCCATCAGGTAAAACAAAACATGAGGATACCATCAAGTAAATTAATTTCCGCAGGGGTTACATCAAGCAAATCTCTCGGAAAAATTGGTAAAATCTTTTTGATACATATATATATGAGTAGAGATGAGTTAGTTCCCTTACATGAAAAGACTCTTCCTGCACATACATATGGGGTTGTTATTCATACATTTGACAATTTATAAATGCTCGTTCTTCTAGCTCTTGACGTTTGTGTAGCATGATGGTCTCCGTCAAACTATTGAAGTGTAATGATATCCAAACATGTGAACATATAATCCCAGTGTTGGGAGTTATATAAGCCATATGTTGTTGAAGTTTGTAGAAGAATGTGAGCAGATGTATGACTTTAGATGTGAATGTGAAACATATTTTCTACTGTGTCGTTCACTTTAAATGAGATATTGTATTCGGATTGCCTTCACAAGAGTATGTTTCATTTGATAGAGTTTGATTCAAGTATGTGTAAGGACAAAGGATGCATATCAGACGGCAATATTGCTACTATAGTAATTCATGTTGATAATTCATACATAAGAAGTCGCAAATGTTATGGTTCTTATGCCGACCTTGCCCTCGAACTCCCAAGATTCTACATCACAATTGTTGGAGTTCACATGTCAAGAGCATCTCAGATATCGACTGTTAACAAGGCGCTCAACCAGACGAACGGAGGCAGAAAGACAGAAAAATGGCCATCATCCGTCTGCAAGTTGTCCCGACGTCATTTGCGTTCACACAAATTGTATGAGGTTTGTTGACCTCTAACGACATATGAGACATTATCTGTGTGACTGGAATCCCTCCGAGTTGAAGTCATCGTGCGTCCATCTGACAAGTTGAGACCAGTACATCTTAAGATGTCACAGGCTTGCTCGATTACTGAGAAGCAGAAGGAGATGATGCAACCATTGGCACCGTCTTATTTGGCACCTCGTGTATTTGCATGAACATAAGTCATGCAAATACACGAGACGACATACGTCCAGGAAAAAATTGCAAAATTCAATTAGGAGCTTGCGCGTGCTCTGCTGATAGCCTTGAGGTCAACCCAGTCATCCACGATTTACTTACATTTGTGAACGCCGTGAGATCCGGTGAGGAATTCGTACACGGGCGTTTGTTGCCATTTGTGTACACTACATCCGGTGATTCTCAAAGACATGGCATAAGCTGCTTCAAGCAGGTGTATTGAAAAAGAAAAAATGTGAGAAAATAAAGTTTTAGTACACTGAGCCTACGCGGATCTAATCAGAGTAGCAAAGAGGAAACGAAAAGAACCAGCACGACAATAGCAGAACTCTCTGCCTGAATCCTAACGCTGGATGCCGTCACCGGTTGGTAGCTCAATCCGATCTGAAAACGACACTGCCGCACCCCCGGCGATGGATCCGATGACGTGATGGTAGCAAGGCCTTCGAAGTCGCAGGCATATTTGTCCTGGTAGTTGAACTGATAGTAGTTGTTGAATGCGTAAGAGGCTTTGATGTAGGTATCCAGAGCGTTACATGATCCGCCTTCTTGGAGAGCGCTGCAATCCGTGCGTTGACAGGCATAATCCACGTTCTTAGTTAACACGTCGGCGTCGACAATCGCTGAGGGATTGACGATGCACCATCTAGGTTCAAGATAGTCCACACCCACAGCTGGTTTGGGCCAGACATCAGCGTTCCCTTGACCAGAGAGATCGAGCGCGTACTTAGGATTCCCGTCGTAGTAGAATACCCCCCAGTGCCTCTCGAATGCGCCAGGGTCTACGCTTTTCAGATTCTCATCTAGCAGACCAAACAAATATACGTCAAACTCACGGTTTGGACGCAATGGTGTGCCTTTCTTCGACGCAAGATGAGTCATAACCTGGTTGTTGAACTTCTCTGCGTACTGGATATTGGCAAACTTGTTCCCATCGGTTGGCCACCCGATTTCACCAATTATGATGTGCATATCCGGGAACCCGGCTTTAGTAAGAGCCGAAACCAGAGTGTCGAAACTAGCATCAAAAACGTTGCTGTAGATTGCATTGGTGGCACTGTCGGTCAGAGTGAAGTCGCCAAAAAATGCGTAGTCTATGGGGAAATCGGGACTCAACGCTAAGCTGAGGAAAGGGTATATATTCAGACTGAAAGGGGCCCCTGTGCGGTTCAGAGCGGAGGTTATTGAGACCATGAGATCGGCAATATCAGGCCTGAATACTCCACCGGATGGTACTGAACAGTCCACAGATGGTCCACAAAGAACATCGGCATTAAACGGCACAGTCGCGAACACTTGGCCTGCATGACCCGCGTCTTCGAGAGCCTTTTGAATGTTCACCAGAGCAGGGTAAGTGACGTTTTGATAGCTCCCGTTGTACGCGATGAGGAAAGGCTCGTTGCCCACCGCCACATATCTACATATCAATCCGGAAATGTTACACTCTTTTCCGCTACGTTTGAGCAGGTCGGATACAACCTTTCCTTAACTCAGGAAAGAAACGGGAAAAGACGAAACTGTGACGCTGCTTACGGCATGCAAAGAACAGAACCAAAACAACATGGTATCAGGAATCGCATCTCAAAACAGCGGCATAACATTCTGAGCTTTCTACGTGATTAATATGAAGCCGATGTAGTGAACATGAGATCATCCCTCAGAATACTACTTCGAGAAATACTCATCATGATCTGCAAATTATCCCAAATCTTGGCGTCCGCCTAAACAGAACGAAGGTAGCTCGACTGAGGCAGCGACCCGACTACTGATACTAAAGCTGAAACTATTCGAAACTCAAAAGCTCGTGTGCTTGTACAGACCAAAAGAGCATATACGCTATCCGAAGAACAAGCTACAAATTCCCACTTACGTCGCAAGCGTGAGTGCCCTTGAACAAAGAAAGTTCCAACTTCTTGTTTGGCGGAAATCACAAGAAGGAACGGAAATTCACTTACTTAATGTTGACTCCTCCGCGAAACATATATCGAGTGACATTCGCACTGACCCAATCGCGGGCAGCTCTCTCACTTGTGGCGAGTTTCTTCAGCATATCGTTGGGAGCAGCCACCATGACCTCAATGTTGGTCCCGACGAGCGCCTTCAACGTTTCATAGTCGGCGTCGAAGAGTTTTACACGAGTTATATTGTTGTCTCGCAGCATCTTCACCACTATACCAGGAGGAAGCGGCTGCCGCGAGATATCACCCCAGTTCACCCCCAAAGGCTCAGCGAGGCAGACATTCTTTCCAATAGCCAACAGAAAAACCCACAGTACTCCAATCAAGGCAGCTGGAACCTTGACGCGCTTCATCGATATTCCCTCGGGGACTTTCATTCAGCACGATCTCGGGACGACTAGATGTGTGCTTCCTTCTGTGCAATGTCCAGAGTCTCACTGGAAGTTGTCGGTACAAACAGATATCTGCGAACCGTCTAGGCGCTCATTCTCGTCTCGTCGACTGCGGTCATCAACAGAGCTGGAGTGACTAATGCGACTGATGACATTCGGAGAGCAGCTTTTGAATCACCCCCGAACGAGACAGGATGCCTACGAAGAAGGGACGCCGCGCCCAGTGTCAAGCCTACACCTCCTGCAAGCCATGCGCGCTGCACCGAGTGACGATCGACGCTAGCGCCGTTGGGACATCGGAGCTCCCACTGCTCTCGTCGCAATCTCCGCGGGTGGCAGGCCAGCTGAAGTGCGAACTTTCTCTCCCTCTCGTGCTCGCGCAGCAGAATATGACCGGCACGAGGAGCTCCGGCGGTCGGCCGCGGGGTCAACCCAGCGTGTCAGACAGAGGTTCGGAATACCGGGGCTCTCTATCACAACCGGCATTCTTTGAACCCATCACTTCAGCAGCAAGCATTCCTCGACGTGGTATCAACGGCCATTCTTTGCATTGCGAGGAAGAGAGCCGTGCGGGACAGAGTGGCTCAGAGGCTTAATTTGGCGGGATTTGAAACCTTCCGGTCCATTCACGGACCGAGAGAGACCGCGGTCGCAGACGAATGGAATGCGAAACTGGATGGCGCCGTTCCCCTCCCCCTTGGAGCTGTGGCCTGGCCTCTCATCTCCCAGTTCCAGGTAACAACGGACCCTTCGTCTTGAACTCCCGGGCCTCGGACCATTGCCGGATACCGAAAACGATTTCTCCCGAGCACCGAGTGGGTCTCAGTATTTCCACAATTTGTCGCAATAGTACATTTTCCCATTACGTTGCCATCGGGCCTAGTGCTATTGCTCGGTATATCTCTCGGTACTTTTTCGTTTCGTGTTACCTTGAATTCGTTCTGGCTGCCTTTTCTTTTCCACAGTTCTGAGCGACTTTCGTGCCGGCATGTCATGTGCAAGGTTGGTGTGCGGATATTATGAGGAGAACAATCGTAAGCTTTTTATGGTGAAATATTGCGACAAGTTGCGGCCTTTCGTGTCTTAAATACTGTAGTATGATTCTTCCATCTAACTTGTTGATTTGATTTCCCCATGAATTCAGTTATTTTTTCAAATAATTGTAACCTACTATGGTTCGGAGGACGAGAGATGACTTACTTGTATTTTGTTATTGCAACCGTGAAATCTTTTCCGGAGTTGATTGTGTTGTGAATCTTTAGCAGTCCTGATCTGAGTTTCCACTACAAGTTACTGCTTTGATGTTTCAGTGTTACGGGCTGTGTTGCGAGAATCGGATACGGTACCGACTGCAGCCAGTTGCTCCACAGTGCACAGCATGTCCACGTGTTGCATCCTTGGAAGGGTGACAGGCAGTTCAGCCAGCCCAGCCGTTGGCTTGCAGGAACAGCAGCTCTTAGTACTTTGGAGCTTCCAGTTAGACCCGTTCGCAATAAAGTTACCAACCGTCATGTACTCTATTTCCGTCCACTAATTCAAAACATGAGCTGAGCTGGAGCAAACTAAAGTATTTAAATCCAGCGCATACTTTTCTAAAGTGAGCATTCGAACTTGCACGTTCGGAAAGTTCCTCGACAATGATTTGACATCACTAACTTAGAACCGGCATCTAAGCAAAAGTTTGTGTCCATCAGTCCATCATCATTGTTGGCGAGTGCGGTGTTTGTAAAAAGTGTCATAGGTAATACAGCGGCATGCATGAAAATAGCGCAACCAACACGGGCATTTTGAATCCTAACGGGAAACATGGTGCTACTTTCGAAGAATGATTTTTTTGTGCAGTTACTAAAACCTATAATCTTCAAAGAACATTATCCATTGATAATATTGATTGTGTGTAAAGAATATTTTAACTAACGCAAATTATACAACTTGAATCCGATGCTTCCTAGTCGTTCTACTCTTGTGATATATTCATGGATAGTTTAAACATCACAATCAATGTAAAATCGCCATTCATTACATGAATACTCATATGCATGAGCAATATTTGGCATTCTAAAAAAATACGATATTTGATGTTACAAGGTTGTTGAATAGTTACTTGTATTAAACATTTAATTTGATTTGACAGTGTATCATCAACATGTACAGCTTTTTGGATGGAATTTGCATAAAATTTAATGAGATGACTATATGAAAACTCCTTATGTAGATAACTATTTGAATTCTATTAAACTCACATGAGCTAATTTAAATTGCACATTTTTGTATTATATATAATATATTTTTATTTTCTTTTTGAAAAAATGCGTATTTGCAAATCATGTTCTTATCAAAATGCAAAGAAATTATTATATACATTAAATTTAAAATGGCAAATGACATTAAATTTAAAATTTGCAATGATATTCAGAATTACATACATGCAATGTTAAATTGCTAATAATTTTTTCAATAAATCAAAATAGTGGGAAAATTTTTGAGGATTAGCACTTCAACTTTTGAAAATATTTCATCAGAATATTTTTCTGTTAAGATTAATTATTTTCTTGAGAATATTATTTTTGTTAAAATTATTCCTTCAATGAAATTATTTTTCATATTAGAGTACTACAACAATGTAAACATTTCCTCGGACAAATTTTTTTTCAAAATATCTAGTAAAATTTGGGTATCACTTGGAAGTTAACAAAGTAACAAGTACATTTAGATAACTTTGGGAAGGTAACGAATGAGCAACAAGGAGGAAATTGCCAAAATTATTTGCTTCTTTCGACGATGATGGCAACTGGACGGGCCGAAGTATTGGTTAAAGCATTGTCAAGTTTGACAAATGCAAAAACTACCTATTTTGAAAAAGTTAGGTGAAGCAAAAGTTGAAGGTAGTGAACCTCAGTATGTTGTTGAGGAAAAAGTCCACTACACTCAACAACAGTGAATGGAATGATCATCAGCAACATATAGTGCACATTGTTTTGAGACATCTAGAATCTTCAATTATGAAGCAAGTCGAGGAATAAGATGAGGTGATTGTATCATTTGAGTTCTTTCAGCAATGGTTTCATCACAAAAAATTGTCGAATAGGTTATACACCTCCTTGAAGCTAATGACATTCAAGATAAAGGATTTTGGACCAAAATTCAATATCACATCCACGTCTATGATGATCTTGTGATAGATCTCAAAAATCTTGGCAAGGAGATTTTAGATGTGAAGAAAACTTTTCAGTTTCTTAGCTCGTTGCTTTCATTGTATCAGATGTTATCACGTGTACTACTCTATCGTGATTGGTAGATCATCACTTACAACGAGGTTGTAATTGATTTTTTAACAGATGACGTGCAGTAAGAGATAATATCATTTATCATAAGATAATCTTCTACTAGAAGATCATCGAATCGGGCTAGTAGAACTCTTGTCAAGAATAATGTATGGACTAATTCTACACATTTTGAAAATAACGAAATTGATAAAGAGTATGATGATGGTCTTGTATGTGTGAAATAATATTATTGGCAGTCAAGGAATTGATCATGGTTAGCTTAGGTATAATCAAGTCTTACTAGTTATAATTAAGTTTAGTTATGATATCTATACTTAGCGAAATAACGAGGGGGGTTTCAGAAGATTTGAGTGACCACTTTTATTTTCTCTTATTCAAAAGTCTAGATTTCAAGGATGTGAAACTTTGATTAGATGATTAGTTTTGATTGGTTTGACTAAGTTTTAGAAACTTCATTGGATAGATTAAGTCTAATGTTTACTTAGTGGCAAATGTATGTTCTAAAAGTTGAAAAATCTCAAATGACATGTCGGCATCTCAATCTATGGATTAGGAATCATTTAGAAGATTTAGCAATCAAATAACATGTTGTCACATATTGAGAATGAGTCAAACCTACTATGATTTATCGTTGTAAAAGTAAGTTAGAAAAAAAATACTATTTGTTATTATGATAACTTCTCAAGTATCATTTATAGAGGTAAAAAAATTACTTTTAAGCAAATATGGAGAGTTCATGAATAGAAATTTGTTTCATGAATGAAAAAGTGAGATTTTTAGTATCTTGAAGTGTCAAATTGTATGTGAACTTGAGTGATGAATGAAAAGAATGTGTGAGAAGATGTTTGGAACATGGGCGTGAGGAGTAATACTATCATTCTAGAATCATGATGAGTTACCACAAAACTAAAGTAAACTTAAGTGAGAATCAGTCTGAAGATTGTAGATCTTGAAAGAATGATAATCTTCTTTGTACATGTTGATTCAAGCTCCGATCAATAAACTTGAGTAAAATGCTCCTATGAAAATGAGTGTACAAGCTGGAGAATAGTCTAACAGTACATGAAGCAATAATATTCAAAGCCTCGTTGGTGGCTAGATGTTTCACACAAGAGAAAGATGTGAACTACAAGAAAGCTTTTTCACATGTAGCGAAATATACTACAATTTGTATGTTATGTGCACTAGTTGCGATATTTAGTCTTGTTATAATTGTGTAGAGCGCTGAATACAACATTTCTCTATGGAAATTTAGAGTAATAGTAATCAAAGAGAATATTATGGATGTACATTCATAGGGATTTGAAGATGAAATGTCTATGATTGAGTCAGGGCAAGTATATGTGACGTATACTTGATAGGTTCAACATGGCAATTTTTTAAGAAAATGTACTTCTTTAGTAGCACATTTTAGACTTTCCGCAGTTCAATGTCATAAAAAAAATGTCATATGCTATGATCAAGTTGTGACCAATCTCATGTATTTGATGACGTGCATTATGTTTGATATTGCTCTAGCTATAAGCAAGATGAACAAAGTACATGTAAAATCCAAGAATAGTTTTGTGAGAAGAAGTGAAATGGATTTTTAAGTATTTGAAGAGTATTGAGTATTATGACTTATTGTTTAATGGTTTCTTAAACAATGCCAAATCTTTGTTGGATTACCTTGATGCTCACTATGAACATGGATATGGACTAGAAAAAATTTACAACTTAACATGTGTTTACACTTGGTGATGCATACATTAATTGAAGAACTACCTTGTAGAATTGCATAGCTTAGTCTACAATGGAACTTGAGTATGTAACGGTAGCAAAATGCCAAAGGAAGCTATTTGGTTCGATAACTTTACCACAAATATATGATTGAAACATTGTGATGGTTAGAGTGTTTTACATTTTGCTGCAAATCAGGTGATGTACAACAGAGTAAAGCACAATGACATAAAATATCAATTTATTAGACATGCAATCTCTAATAAAAGTATTGAGCTATTCAAGATATATAGTATATTCAATCTAGTTGATGCTCTAACCAAAGTTATTCTTAGTAAATTTTTGCATGACAAGCATAAGTAAAGATTGCTAGTATTTTAATTACCTCTTTATATTATTATTTTATCTTGTTTTGATTACGACTTAGTTATAATCAACTCTAGTTATAAAAAGATGCATTTTGTTAGATTTCCTGTTAGAACTTTCTCCAAGTAAGTATATAGGTTACTTATTCCTCAATATGAATTAGAGAGAAAATTGTTTAATTTTAACTCCAATTTTGGATTAATTCTTTATTAAAAAACTCAATATAATGATCAAGTTACTTCTCCAATGTTTATATTCCACTTCATCTTTTGTATAGACTTTGCGAGTTCATTTACTATCAACTTTTTTTCTCCTGTGTACGTAAACCTTGACGAAATGAACCACATACATATTGTCTCCTAGTGTCTCTCTCATCTTGGAAATTAATCATGAATCAACTGTTGGTGAAACATGTTTCCTTTTAGTGTTGGTGATTTCACTTACTCCATGTGATGTTATTATCAATACTCGGATAAAACCTTGACAATAATACCCTTTCTACTCTAATCATGAAAAAATATTTATATTAATAAAAGTCAACATTTGAACACATGAAAAAAACTTGATTTGTTTTGATTGTGTAGATATAATATCTTGAATCATGATAAATTTTTAAGAACAAAATTCATTATTCATAATAAATGTCTATGGATGATTTTGCTAAAAAAATGTTATTGTTATTATTTTCAAATCACAATTGAGCAAAACAATTTTTATTGAATATAATGATAATTATCATAAAAGTCAATTTTTATTATTCATTTTGTTACATGTTGAGTCACATAACTTTGAACAAAGAGCATGTACTAATGATATATAAAAATCTTTAATATAGCTTTTAGCTTAGTGATACTCCAATAGTGTCATAGGATTATTGTGTCGCTGCATCGAATCAGAATGAGAAATATGTATTTTTTAGTTAGGTATTGGATGCTAGTCAAGATTTTGGATTGATTATTGAATATAAAATATCAATTGATATAAAAATAATTTGAAAATTCATTTTATATATACTTCCATGAAAATTTAAAGTTGCTACATAATGAGATTTTGAGTGATTTGTCCATGTTGAATTGATGCATGTAGATATTATGCACAAACATTGATACTCTTTCATATACATGTATTTTTAAAAGCCTAGAAAGATGTGTACTTAAATATAATTTCAATTGTATAGTATTGTTACATTCATCATTTTTGTTCTTCTTTTTTATGAAAATTAGAGCACATGATTATTCTTTAATATGTTTTTGATATTTGACATTAATACTCTCTAGTAATAGACATTTTTTTATGACTCTATAAATATTGTTTTATGTATATGTTTGAACCATGACTACTTAATGTCTATTATACTTGTAAGCGAATATGTACATAGTAGATTCATAGAATACATCAAACCTACTTTTCATCACATAATCAATGAGCTTCATAAGTTAGATTCAAAAATAAAAATGTGGAGTGTGATTTTCTATTCAACATAATTTCTTATCTTCACAAGTTAGATTTGAAAATAAAATTGTGAATGTGTTGAGTGTGATTTGCTTTTCTTTTTAGCATAATTTCTTATCTTCATGCTATAGATGAAGGTATACTATTCATAGATATTTTATGCATATTTAAAAATGCTAGTAAGTTTATTTATGTTGATCTAGCATCACTTATACATGACAATTGTACTTAAATGCAGTATTGTATGTAGATGAAATTGCTCTACTAGAGTATACTCATGCGATGTTTGATTAAAGATCTTAATTATTGTTTGTGTATCCATGCAACATTGACATTTGAAAGTTTTGGTGTTAATCTACTGAAAGATTTGATGCCATACTTGTAAGCATTTGATATAAATAAACAAAGATGATGACATAATCAGATCAAAGATATTTGAATGAGTGATAGGGATTTTTGACAAGAAAAAAGTTTATTTTCACAAACTTTTTTGGTTAAGATGTAAATTTATCTAATAGAGGAGATGTTTTTTTATAGCATTTCTGATTTATTGGCATTCTTCACTAATACGTAAATTTTCTAACTTGCGATTGCACATAAGTTCATCATTGAGATGTATGTGAGAAACTTGGATCATTGACTTTAGTTGTATAATCACAACTTGAGTTCATATTTTTTTCTTCTCTATATGCAATTTGTACCTAAGAGTCCATTATTTACGTAGACAGTACAAGGAATTTCAGCAATTTCTTCAATCTATTGCAATGCATTATGTCATGTTTTAAGTAATAGGAGAACCTGACCTCACTCTTGTTGACAAGGTGTAGGGTTGTGAATTTTGGTTTGATAATGCATTATAGCTAAATGACTTGCATAAAAGTATCACGTGTGCGGATGTGACATTTATCATTACTTAACAAATTGTGAGATATATTCTGTCATAACAATATACTGCATACATCACTAGCATATTTGGAGGCAACTTTAACCTTTAAAGTTAAAGTTGTAACATTGTGTTAACTAAAATTTTATTTGACATGCTTTTGTAAGGTTTATTACTCATCTCTGGGATAGAAGACATTTGACAAAACGTCAAAATATAGAAATCATACAGATAATAATATCTTATTGTTCTAGATTTTAAGTTACTCAAAATGATAAACATGTTTGCATGGTTTATCACACTAACTATGTAAATCTCCTTGCGTTTTTGTACTAAGTAAGGAATCACTTGTATAATTATCTCTACGAAGAACATCGACAAATCCAAGCAAGAGTAGAACAATTTAGGTTAGATAGTTTGACCTAGATATGTGGGATATATTAGGCGAGATAATAAATGTTGTTCCCCGCATGGTTTGATCCATGTGATACTTGATGGGGTACTCCCGCCAAGTTCGACATGTATCGTCTGCGGGGTCTGACAGGATATCTCAGATTCTCACAGGGAGAGCAATTTCGGCCGAAGGATGCAAGAAATGCTCATGCTCCGGGCAATTTGCTTTATGAAACATGAAAATTTTGGAGCGATGGTTGGCAGTCGCCGTGCCTTTCCTGCCCGACGCCATGATTACGGCTGCACCTCTCTGTACACCTTTCTGTGAGCATCGATGCTCACAGAGTCTTGTAGAAAGATATGTTGATTCGGAGAAGTCGTATGCTCCGACCACAATCGGTGCCGGAGGTTCGTGCTTCTCGATTGCTCCCAACGTGTGGGCTGTTTCATCGCTGTGAAAATTGGACGGCCTTCCCCCTATCTCAGAATTTTGATCCCCCATGCCGCGTCGGATCGTGAGCCAGAAATGAGTATGCCCCTTGTTTTTGATGCCACATTCAATGCCCCTTGGAACTTGAGGCGGCCTTTACGTTCTCGAAAGCTTGGATTCAAGAGCAGCGAAGTTTACACTGCCTCCCGAATTGGAGCACCATGTACTGCGCAAATTGGTCATTTTCGACCAAAGGACGCCTCCAATCCAAGTTCTCGGAGGTCGCAGAGGTCTGGAAGCCATTCTCTGTCCACCAGTTCTCGCATTTTATGGCATGAAAGGGGAGCTCATGGCCGAAGGGGCGTCACAGCTGGGGTTGAGAAGGACAAGGAGAGTAGCAGTAGTCCCGAGAAACATAAACGTCAAATTCGGCCTGAAGTTCATGGCCGACGAACGAGACCTGGCAGACCCACTCCTCAAGGACCGTACAACAACGTTCTTCTGCAGGTGCGGACCCTTCTCAGATATGATTTCCTGTTTGGGAGGTTCAACATCCGTTTAGTTGCTCCACACCACGCAATCTTCAAAGATTTACAATTTGCGGGCTTTTGGTGATTAGACGCATGACTTTTAAACATATTCTTATCCAATCCCCACCTTCCAGCTTTGTCAGGCTGGCCGTATGGCATCGGTATTGGAGCATTGAACTGAGTGGAAGCCGTTCCGCTTTCATCCTTGAAAAGTATCATATTGACGTTCTCCTCGTTATGAACCTTCGAATTCCCTTCGAAAGCCCATTGAATTAGGAGAATCCATATGATATCCAGCGGAATTAATGTGAGGAGATTTCGTTAAAGATGCAAGTTGCCAAGAAATCCTCTTTCCGGGTCCTTCTCTGAGCTGACACATTCATCATAAGGAAGAATATTTCAATTATATTCACCCGTATAATGCATCGTAAGAATATGGTACTATGAAACAACTTGCTCAGTGCTGCAGACTTAGGGCGTTAGACTCTTAATTTGAGGATCATGGCTGCGAGTTGCTTCACACTCCACCCCCGAGTTGATTGTAAACTTCTATGTACCTGATCGTTTGTAGAAAAATAAATTCGGGACGGAAGTGATTGATAACGAAAGATTTATCTGAAATCTAGACTGTATGTCCGTCGCGATCATCTTCAATCCTACTCAAAGCGTGGAGGATTTTGATGAGCAGATATTTCTCTGGATTTTGTGATCAAATTTAAGATGTGGACGGTTCATGCAGGCATTTAATTGGGATTCTCACAAGAACAATTGGTGGACCACTTTAAAGACAAAAGTGGAAGAAATTTGTGGCCTGGGAATAACAGATGTATGGCTGCCTCCTGTGTCACAGTCAGTAGACAGACAGGGTGAGTACACCAAATTACTTGACCTGTCCTAAGCTTGAAATACGTAGAATGAAGGAAATCAGGAGAACGCTTGTATATTCTTCTTGGATACAGCTTGCTCTCCAGATTTGCGGACACCTTCTTCGACTTATGTCTTCGGACTGCTCGATTTTCTTCGTCACTGCGAAGGAGCAAGTTTAAAGGGTCTTTAGCTACTGCACCAGAGGCTGACCCTCTGAACATTGTCTTACGCTCGTGTTTTCTATCCCTTGGGTCGGATATTGCCTGGCTTAACGTAATTATTCTTCTCAGTGCTGGAAATTCCTTGTGACAACTACACATCATTTTCAGACTGCATGTATGATATAGATGTTGAATTTGATGGAATGTCGAGCTCTTCGTAATGATTTGCCCATCGTTCCAGACACCTAGAAATAATAATTACTGGTGTGAACCAACGGTCCATCCGAATGCAAATTTTTTTTAATGTCATGCAAGAAGACCAATTCATGTTCAAGAAACAGCTGCATGTATGCACAATTCTTCACCATTTTGTCTCAGCGGATGGTTGTAGTTTTGATCACTACCTTGTCAAGCATCTTAAATTTGCAAAAACTGCGTTTTGATCAGGTTATTTACCAACCCAGCTGTACAGCTTGGATTCATCTGCTTACGGCACGAGCGCCCAGTTGAAGGAGCTAATCGATGAATTTCATCGTCAGGATATCTGCTGTATTGCAGATATTGTCATCAATCACCGTAGTGGGGTAAAACAGGACTCAAAAGGCCATTGGAACATTTTTAAAGGAGGAAATCCGGACAAAAGACTTGACTGGGGTCCATGGGCGGTGGTAGATGATGATGTGTATGATAGTGGTGGCAAAGGGAAGCACGACACTGGAGAGAGCTATGGAGCGGCACCAGACCTTGATCATACAAACAAGCAAGTCCAAGATGAGTTGACGGATTGGATGAACTGGATGCGGGCGGAGATAGGTTTTGATGGATGGAGGTTTGATTTCGTTAAAGGCTACCATCCCAAATACACGAACTTGTAAGCTTTCCACTCTCCGGATCTTCGCTGGCATTAGTTTGTCGTAGAACGTGGCATATGTAGAATTCTACAAAGAAGAACGATTGTTGAATCTTTATACATGAAGCATTTTTCTCCGGCCTAACTTCTGCGTGATGCCCACATTTCCCTGGTGTTCGACAGGTACTGTCAGAGGACAAACCCAACTTTTGCTGTTGGAGAGCTGTGGACTTCCATGGAATATTTTAATGGTCAACTTTCTTGGGATCAGAGTGAGGCTTTTACCTACGTGTTCTAAGTACGGGTCTGTCACATCTGGTTGCAATATATTTGAGATTGTGTATTAGCAGAACTTAGGTTTCCGAAGTCTTTGTTTACAATCTGAAATATTTCGTCCGTTTGTCTTCACAGAGAAAACCTTGTCATTGCTCTTCAATTCCGCAAATCATCATGCTCGCTGGATCAACGGGCTACTTACGCAAGGGTGTTTTCTAACATCAATAGTTGCATCTGCAGATAAACATAGGCAGGTACTCTGTGACTGGATTGATGGGACCAAAGGTTCGTCTTCCGCTTTTGATTTCACGACGAAGGGCATTCTTCAACGTGCCGTTAATGGAGAGCTTTGGCGACTTCGAGATGAGAAAAATAAGCCTCCAGGCTTGATTGGTCAGAATGAAACTTGTACCATAAGAAATACTCCTTGTTACATGCCTGTGCCGGGGCTGCATTTAGCATAATTTGAAGCTTGCATTGTAGAGCTGGAGTGGCGTGAGCACGTACTCTCTAAGCTAACTCTAGAATAATCAGCTTTTATGCGATTTAGCTTAGAAGCTAATTCGCATGAATATAGCTGTGCTTGCATTTGAAAATTATGATATGAAGCGTACGATACACACATCTTTACTCAGTACACCCGGTCTTATTTACTGTGACAGGGTGGTATCCTCAAAAAGCTGTGACATTTCTTGACAACCATGATACTGGTTCAACTCAGCGACATTGGTGCTTTCCTGACAAGAGGGTGCTGATGGGATATGCCTACATCCTGACACATCCTGGCATTCCTTGTATTGTAAGCAGCACGTAGACCGAAAATCCCAGTCACTTCTAGCTATATATGGCCCCAAGGCTGAGTAACTTGTACGAGCACACACATAGCACTATACACGATATTTTATGTTTCTGTTGTCTCGTTTCTTCCCATTTGCATCTGTTTGGATATCAGCTGCCCGTGTATATACCTCTAAACTCTAATATCTGGCCTCCGCGACGCCACTCCGCTGAGTCGTGTATATATATGTATAATATTTTGCACCTATTCTGTCTAGAGAGATATATACTAAGCAAACATGTCCACTCGATTGACTTCACTTAATTTTAACAAAAAGAACTTATTTCTTTCTTTCAAATGAATTTTACAACTTGTTACACCTACTTCGAGCTTGTGCTGCTTGTGCTTTAGCTGTTGATAATTCTCTTACGTTGGATACATATGCTACTGGATCCGGTGGTTTTTCTCAGGCTTCTCTTGGCCACAAGCCGCCAAGAGTTGTGTACAAATCGGATAGTTGCATTCCGGGCTTACTTATAGGAGCATATAGATTGCCTTCGAAAAAAATTTCTACTAGAAGAGTCACAGAAGTCCGAGCTGGTATACAACAGGATTTTATATTTTAGAGTTTCTTTTCCATTGCATACACCATGTATGCCTAAAGTGCCTAAAATCATCATGAAGCAGTCAATTTTTTCCCCATCGTTTTGTCAATTTATGGTTTTGTCTAGTAGGTATACCTTGTGTGCTACGAACAAATGTTCTCACAGATCTTTGTACAATATCTAGAACTGCGACTGTCTGCACGCTTCCTTTGTCTTGGCTTTTGGTTTTGAAGTTTGAAACGGAAACTTGATGTCACTAATCTTGAATTTGCTGAAAGAAGATAAACTAGCAAATAGAAAGATTTAAAGAAGATAAACTGGACTTTCAATACTAGCGGTGACCAAGGGATCAATCTGATGGTTTTTTATTGATTATGAATTGTAAGGCCTCCTCTTTTGAACCGTTTTGGCTTCTCTTCTCTATGTACAGATACCTTAGTCATGGAGACTTTGCGTATGCTTATCATCTCTCCGTCGTCTGTGATATGGAGGAATCGTCACTAAAACCTTCTTTAGTGTAGAAGGTGGTGTGCTTCCTCGTTTCGAACAACAGACTGCAAGCACCTTATATGCAAATTTTGCAGACAAAGTGCTTTAGTCCTTTTTTTTTTACAAAATGTTTCGTGTAGATTACTGTTTCATGCACATAGTTAAGTCAGCTGCGTAAGCTTTCCTCTCATTCTACTCGTTACCACGCAAGGCTGCGTTGGAATGCGTATATATGTATTTCTGCCCACCTTTCACATCCTTTTTTTGGTGCCTTCGTGGTACTTGCTAACATTTCTCTTCAGCTACTTTGAGAACTGTAAAGCCCTTCTATCATAAGGGCAAAGAAGCGTGCGAAATTCCCAAAACTATTTCTGGCTTTGGCCCATGAAACGAAAAATGTCTCCCTCTTCCGTTGCACCTCCGGTAGTCAGGAATTGCAACAGGACAGGAACAGTTTTTCCCACTCTGAACTCGTCTTTCCTTGATTGTCATCTGCACCTGTTGGAGTTTGCTTTCGAGTATGTTACATGTACATTCCCTATGCGAGGCAATTTTTGTCACAATCCGCAGGTACCCGGGAAACTCACTTTATTGGCACACCTTTTAATGTCTGACATAGCTCCACCGCTTGTATTGAGTGCTTGTTCTCAGTTTGGTTTTAATATACATACACAGACGAGTAATTTGTGCATGAGTAATCGTTTGTCATGTATAATCTGTGCACACCTTTATAGATGTTCTTATGTTCAAATTACTGAGTTCATCTTGCTTTGATTGGACGCAACAGTTCATTGATCATTTGTATGAGTTCAAGCTGAAGAACGAGATCCAGAAGTTGGTGTTACTCCGGAAACGCAACCGCATCAACGCCAAAAGTAAAGTGGTCATCCAAAAAGCGGAGGCAGATATTTATGTCGCAAAAATTGATGAGCGACTGATTCTGAAGCTTGGCTCGAGGTAATTTTCTCACGTGTCTAAGAGTCCGATAAGCACGTTTGGAATTTTATGGCTGATTTGCAGTCCGTGACCAGTTTGGTGTTCCTCCGTCCAGGATGGACATGGGTGGCTTGCTTCCTGATAAGAACACGTGGACCATATATATGACCGGTACAGACTGGGCGGTGTGGGAAACCAACAGACCGATTGGTGCTCTCCCCGAAAATGACGAAGATGAACCATTACCTCCGCCACGAAGTCCTGTTAAAAACCGACCAAGCCACCCTGTACATCTTACGAGCAAAATGAGTGAAGAGACTAAGAGGCGGATTTTGAAAGATGTGCCGCAGCTGGTGGACCCTGCCGAGAGGAAAAAGGTGGAAGAGCCTTGACAGATAGATAAGGCAATGAACTTCGAGGAGAGGGAGGGCTGGCTGGGCTCTTGCAGCTGATTGTATTGTACGAGGGAGAGCTAATTGTTCTTCTCCCTCCGGATTTAGACAGATTTCTACATGCTATTCAGTGATTGAGTGTAAGATAGGTTGATAAACTTCAACGTTCTGGAACGCATGCATCCAATGAATAAAGTGTGGTTCTTAGAGAAAGAAAAAGGCAGTCCATCCCATCCCATTTCTCATCTACAATATTGATATGTTCCTGTTTGCAGGAACACATATCAATATTGGCGAATGGCAATGGGAAAGGTACCCCAGTAACATCAGACACTCCTCGGGAAGGGACTCCTCGGGAAGGGACCCCACGTCATTGGACCCGAACACAAAAAGTGTGCTCGGGAATTTTTCTTCTCGTTGTACTTTTGGGCCCACTTCTAGTCCTACTGATTCTGTAGAACGCGTTGGCCATAGAACAACTACTGTATGGACCGGCGTTTGTCAGGTTGCTTAGGATCACGTGCCGTGCATAACTTCTCTAGTGTCCTGTGAGAGAGTGCTTCTACTGTGCCCATTGCCGTGTGTTTTAATTTCATTGAAGTTGGAATGGACTTGTGTCCACATGGCACAGGAATTGATACACTTCTCTACCCTCCAGCAAACTGCGAACAAGACGTTGGACTTCAAGCACCGATTATAAAATAATAATGCCGACTATTATATTGACTTTACCTCTGACTGTTCGTACATCTAGGAGTCGTGCAGACAAAATGCCTCACCTAAAAGATCTCACGACGAGGTGCAGACAATTTTCCGCTGCCCTTCAGGCAGTCGAATAGTCCTGCCTACAGTATGAATTGCATCTCCCATTTTCACCATTTCAACCGTGTCGACGATTGCGCATGATAAAACTGTACCGCCCGTAACTTTGTGCTTCAAATCCAAACTTCTAGAAGCCTTCTTCTCGGACGCTTAAGAGATGGATCAAAACGACATCGTCAAACCATTGAATTGCAGCTGCACGTTTCGTGGATGCATGTTGACGTCTCCAACTATGCTGAAAGCCGTATGAACGGTTGTTCTGTGAAGGGGAACCTCGAGATGAAAGTACTCCGTTGGTCCCCGCTAAAAATTAACAGTTTCTTTGACGTCCCAATTTCGAGAACTCTTCCTTCGACCCTGGACAAGCAAGAACCTTTTCCGGTGGTGGCTTGGAACCTGCTTCCTTCAAAACTCTAGTATCAGGAAGTCAACACTCCAAATGGTTTCCTTCATAGATTAATTTAGTTCCAAGTTTTACGGTCACTATATCTAATCCGTAACTGCTCGCTCAACCCTGCAAATCCAATTGTAATCACAGAGTTTAAATATGACTCTATACTCAAAGTTATTCCAATCTTGTCCATCTCATAGAAAAGTCTTTCTTGTATGTCGTCTTCTAATAAAACCTAGTCTATCAAACTCTAGTCTCATTGTTTAGATAAATATCTAGAACATAGTCAAAGTAGGTTAATTTTACTTTCATTTTTGAGTCATAATATCAAGCTGCCAACTCTGTAAACCTCATCAATCTTGGATCTTAATTCTGGGTCTTTACATCAGGTTACCAAAAAAGTCTGTCAATCTCCATATCTGCCTTGATAAGATTTCAAAACTTCTTAAAACCTTAAATTTATCCAGTAACGTCACTATACCAAACTTCAAGACTAATGAGAACAAAGAATGTCATTTCTATTTTAATTCAGCCAAAATAACGCAATCTAAACTCAGATCTCTGTATGCAACTTACATACATTCATCAACCATCATATAGACACAATATAGTGCATCTCATAAAAAGTCAAAATAATAGCTAAAAACCGAACAAATATCAATATAAATATAAACGTAATTTGACATTGTATAAGTTGCCAATATTTCTTTGTCATAGCGATCATAGATCATATGATGAGTTATGATAAAAATATGATCTACTAAAATCATAATTCACACATTAAAATGTACCACAAATGTCAAATTTGAATACATAAAATGTAATTTTTACAGAATTCTATACATTCATGTTAGGATTCAATTCAGTTTCAAATTTAATGTTAGTTCAATCCTAGTTAGGGTTTAGCTTAAGCTGTACTTTTTAATAAAAACTAGCAAAAGCTCTCGTTAATTTTTCTAGGTTTCACTAATGAAGTCTTTCTTCGTTCCCGTGGTAGTACTCCACAAATGCAACCACATGCTTTACTGTTTACGTTTCAATGTGAAGTTGTTTTGGTGTGTGTTTGTGATATATTTTTTTTCATCATAATTCATCCCAGCAATTGCTATATGAGCAAATCTTGGCAAGCCTCTTTGTGAAATAGCTCGCCCCACTGTTTTGAGTTTTTGGTGTAAAAAAAGAATTAGTTTAGTTTGCTACCTCGTATTTGTTGACATCTATTTATCGATCTGCATTTTCATGATCATTTGAAGTTAGTGGAGATGTAGGTTGTCTTATTGCTTGGTTTCATGGCTAGGTTTATTGCAGTTTGATGGTTATGGCACTTTTTAAGACTCATAATTGTATGTGTGAATTAAGATAAACATAAGTCAAAGAGTTTATCACAATTAATTTAGCAATAACTAAGTTTAAATACTTATGAGTAAATTCAACTATCAAATTTATAAGTGGAAAAATAATTAGAAGTTATGAATGAGCATTATTATTTTATATCATATCAAAGTCTACGTGCTAATTGAAAAAAGTACTTTGATCACATGTTAGTTTTGATTGATTTTATTAAATAATAGAATTTTCAATAGTTAGACTAAATCTAAAGTTTGATTTGATAATATGTGAAAGTTCTAGAAGTTTCAAGGTGCCTAATGACATCCTGCCACTTTAATCTATGACAAAAAAAGATTGAAAGAATCCAATGACATGGTGCCATGTAATGAAAATTAGTCATACCTATCAATGATAATGATGATTGTATGATAATTATCCTGTTCTACTTAACTAATTTCTCAAGTAGTTCAAAAAAAGTTAGACATAAGACTCTCAAGCAATTAAGGAAAATTCATGTGTAAAAATTTAAAACATCATTGAAAGTTTAAACTTACAAATAATTTTGGAGTGTCAATGAGCTTTAGATTTGAATAATGAATTGAAAGTTTGTGTGCGTGTGTTTGTTGCGGGCATGTAGATGGATTATTAACTTCTAGAATCATGATGAGGTATGGAATAGCAATATGAGTTAACTTGGAGGTCAACTACTCCTTCGAGTGAAAGAACTTGAGACTTGCATGTGAACTTGATAGTATATAATATAAGACGAAAGAAGAAGTGGAAAGATGGAGTACGCTATCCTTGCAAAAGAACCACTTTGTCAAAAGATAGAAATCCTCTCTTTAATTCATGATTTTGTTAAGATGCTACTACTACTTTACCTAATATATCTCAAGATATTTGAATGTCATTCAAATGAATAAAAAATAAAATTTATGAATTTATATGAATATTAAATTATAATAATTAAATTATAATATATTTTATAAATAAAAATTTCAATAATATTAATAGCAAACAAATTCAATAAAATATAACTTTATATTTTTTGTATTCATATTTTTTTAAATTTTAATTGAATGGTAAAATACAATCAATTGATTAAAAAAATCATAAAAAAATTCAAAAGGAATTGAAAATTGAGTTATTTTTTATAAATTATCAAAAAATATTAAATTTCATTAATTTTTTTATTTTTTAAATTAAATTTTATCTAAAATTAGGTACAATTTTTGAAGAAATCTCTATGTTTTTAACATGTTATAAGCCCATTATAATGCTATAGTATATAATTTTCTTAATTACAATACAATTAACTTCCATGAAGCTATGAGGAATTCAGAAATTATGATGATGAAAAGAACCTTGTTTATTATACTATCATATTTTTTTTTCATCAATATATCATAGATATCAAAAAGTGGCCTAGCACCTTAATAAAATCAAGTTATCGTACAAATTGTAAGATAATGTTATAAAATCAAAGAATTATTTAGAGATGATTTGTTTTTTTATATTATTTGATAATAATTTTTTTTTCAAAAATTAAGGTGAAATAATATCATGTTGATTTCTTTATTGTTTTAACATATGACTTTATAATTTTACTTCAATATCTTAAAAAATTAAAAAAGATTAATACTTAGAATGAATTAATGCTGTATATTTTATATGAAAATGTATCAATAAAGAGTTTTATAATTAATTAGATTATAATAATTATTTTTAGTTTTAATTATTTTAGTAATAAATTAGATTTTTATTATTAAAATTATTTTATGTCATGTATATTATGAGCTTAACAAAATAATTTAAGATACTTATCATATTTTTTCTATAAAAAAATATATATCACTCATGAATGTTGTTAAAAAAATATTACTCATTACAAATTTTGTGACATGGCACAATAAAATTGATTTTTAAAGTGATTTTTTTATAAATAAATTTAGAATTAACAAGTTATTCTTGGTTGATTATATTTTTGAGTATTATATGATATATATATATATATATATATATATATTAATGATTGCCATCTTAACAAGATCATAAAACATGTTGAAACTTTTGAAAAATGAAACATGAAGTTATCAATCAGAATTGAAATTGATAACAATGCGTTAGATAGAAAAAATCAATTGTTGTTCAATGAAAATAATCAGTTGTATATAAATTTTTTGAAATAATGTATTGTTATGAAGTTTATAATTATTATTGTTCATGAAAATTACAGCATGTAATGTAATAAAGCTTCTAGAAAATTGTTCTTTGATTTATAATAAGTGCATGTATACAATGAATGATAAAAATGCATATGCTTATTTGGAAATTGCCAAATTTGTCATAAATCAATCAACTATGGCGTCAACCAATTTTTATTTATGACAAATATGACCACAATTTAAATTTTTTTGAATGTTCTTGAAAGACTTAAGTGATAGATTCATTGAGAACAATATGTACTCATCTCTGTCCCCGCTAACCAAGGAGTAATCATACTTTACAAGCATAAAACTAGGATATACACTAGCAAAAACTCTAGCAAACATTCGATGTTTGGAAAATTGAGGTTCAAAATTACTCCATGCTTCAAGCAAATCTATAGATTCTGACATTTGATACATTGTTTTGTGAAGTACATTTGTTCGTGCGAATATGTATCGCCATACAGTCTACATCGCTGATATGATACACACAAACACAAATAGAACACTATATTGTAGACACTCAAATGTATCACAATTGAACGAGAGTTTCGAGTTTATGTAATTTTGAGCACGAGTTCTTCAAGTGAAATTAGTGGTGTTAACTTCACTGGTTTAATACACGAAGTTCACATATAGTCGAGCCCAACCCACCCATTAGAGAATCTAGATCAATGCTTACGGGCATCATAGCCAACCCATTAAAGACTATTTCTAACGCTACAAGTTCGACTCAAAGAACTAAATGTTCTTCGAGTCTCCACCACTATACTCTCTTCGACTCCTAACTTTATGTCAACTCTAAGAATAGCAAATTCAAAGACACATGACACATCTTCTCTTTGATAAGCAGTACGTAATACTTTTTGCTTTCGTTCCAAGACGTCAATGGACTCGTTGCTGAATTATTTTTCAATGAAAGATTGATTTTAATGATGATGTTCACAAAGCTTGATGCATGCATAGTCGCAAATTTGTGAGGAAGTCATAAAGATAAAGATGTTGCTGATTCATTATTACCAATACTTTCAGGCTCGATTCCATGTATTCCTACTTCTAGATTAAAAACTAGGTTTTTAACACAACAAATCACAACATTCTTTCAAGCGTCGGACAAGTTATCAAATG